CACGACATCTCAAGAACACCTTGAGGAAAAATCTAATTTGGCACAAACTTGGTCTCAAGTGTGTCTGGTTAGATTTTGCTCATCAAAGGTCAATGTTAATGGCCATATGACATGATTTCACATAAATGTGTAATATGGTAAAATAATTAAATATGACATTTTCTCGACTCAGGGTTTAGGATGAAATTCACGACGATCAATGTGGAAAATGCTTTTTAGACCATTATTCCTATCCCTTTTTTTAAATGCAATCTTATGGATGCATTGAAGGAAATTGGACTCCAAGGTGAACTGATACGTTTTGAGTGGTCAAAGGCTTTGGTCACTTAAGTCGGATTTTTGTTAACTCAAAATCACAGCGATGCCTACAAATAGTATAATATTACATATAATAATATAATATATTATTACATATATAATATAGAAATAGATTACATGGGTTTATTTTTAATGTTTCTGTCCATTTTGGAAAACCACTCAAAATCATTCCTTTGGGCTTCTTATGCCTTTATTTTAGAGACAGGACAGTGGATTGAATCAGAAATTGCAAGAGAGATAGATTGGGGAATGACATGCGGGAAAAGAGCCAAAGGTCAGATTCAAACCCAGGCTGTCTGCTGGGAGGACTACATGTATCCGTACATGTATCCGTACATGGCACACACTAACCACTATAGTCTACCGGCGCCCCTCACAATCATTCTTAAACAAACCGCCCTCACTCTCACATTTCTGACCTGTTTATTCCACCTTCCTTAGTAGGTTAATTAATAATATCTTCCATACACGCAGTGATAGAGAGAGGATTCTTCTAGGTTTTTTTCCGTTCCCTGTAAATTGTGATGCGATCATTCCACCAGTTGTTAGCTTACTAATGCCATCGTTACATTTTTTAAGCCAATATATTTCTTTAAATGTCATACAATGGAAATGTGTGGAAATAAACTAGCTTGACTGGTTGTTAAAAGCATCCAAACACAAGTTTTATATGCAGCATTTCAGCATTGGTCAGTCCCTCAAGGAATTTCAGAATTTATATTTACAGGAGTAAATTAAAATACAGCCAGGTTCTTGCATTTTTTAGCAGCTCAGAAAATATTCCTCTTAAAAAAAGTTTAAGCAAAAATATGACATAATCCAATCCAGAGCCAACAAAGAAACCTGGGTCCTGCAAAGTCCAGCCTGGACTTTAACAACCCAAATACTCCAATATGTCCACAGGACATATTATCCATGTCAGGCAGAGCTTACTTCCTGCGTATGTATTAATATGGATTAGGACATGCACTGATGTCAAATGTGTCCAGGAGGCTAAATGCAATAGTTCACTGATCACACTGTTTTGTGTTTTAAAGATTGATACTCAAATGAGTTAGAGGAAATTGTGGTTAAAAAAAAACAAAAAAACATTTACCCTCCTTATTTATTGCTGGTTACAGTTCAGAAGGCTCTGCAGTAATTCATTCTGCAGGCCATGTACCTGTGAGGCTACGCAGTAAATACTATCCCATCCAAAGCTGCTTCAATCTGCCGTGTCTTTACAACCAATCAAGTCATATTAATTCAGGACTGCTGAGAGTCAACTACCTCTGAAAACTGTGCCTGGTTTATGACTGTTAGACATGCTCCTTGCCCTTTTTTTCTATCATCTAACACAAAGATTTGAAATAGAACCGCTCTGTTTTGCGATTACTGACATATTTGACATCTCTGACATCTAGGGGAGCTCTACTCAGTAGGTTTCTTTGAGAGCAACTAGCTTTGTAAACAGAGAGACACAAGCTTTGTCTTTATCACAGAGGAAACGGCTCAGCATAACCTCAGAAATCTGTGCACACAGTGAGGAATCAGAACCAAACCGAGCCTTATCAGTCAAAATGGAATGAACTCCTAGCGAGTTAAGAGTCTAAGAATCACTCCAGTCAAGCCTTTTAGCATCTTTATCCTCCTGCTTGCTCTGCCGCTCTTTTGGACAAACCTCTTAACTATCATTTTTAGAGTCTGACTTTTCACTGAATTAGCTGTGGTCATCCAATGTCCTTAATGTCATTATTCATCATAATCACACCGACACAGAGCAAAGTCATATCAAATACAAACAGGTCACATCAACGCTGTATTCGGCCTTCATTACATTAGATATATTCAGTAATGCTCAGCTGCAGCAGTGGCCTTAAAACATGAATGATTTAAAAAATTTCTGTAGAATGCTCATTGTTTTCAAATGAAATGAATTTTTGAAGCTGTCGTTAATCAGTTCATATATTGCTCAGAACAAGTGACTGAAGCACAAATCATGCCTGGAGCTCTGCAGTATGGCTGCTTTTTTATTTCATGTAGTCATACATAAATAACCACACTTACTTTAAAAAAAAAAAAAAAAACTTCCCATGTCCTCATAATACATAAAAGACAAAATTCGCATGCTTTACAGAGTGCACAAAAAGGTGTGAAAGTGAATCTAATTTTATCAGATCCCCAGGGGGAGTCTTACAGTTAACGCTCAGTGCTACCTGATAAGATGTGCTAATGAATGATAATTCATTGTGATAAGAATAAAGAGAACCAGCCTTAAACAAGCATGAAGCCGATGATGAATAATAAAAAAAGCACTTTTTTAGTCTGACTAGATTAATGCAGGATTAAGATCTAGCATTTCTTCCGTTGCAAATGTGACCTTTACCCTCCAAGCTAACATCGAGTGTGTTATCATGGCTGTGTGTTGCAGCTAAAAATAAATTTGTCTCAATCAGATAATAATGGAAAAAACTAAAAAAAACACATGTGTCCTAACTCCTTGGAGATGAAGCATAGTCGTATGTACTCCTGTTTTCTCATGTTGGTGTACAAATAGGGCAGCTCTTGATGGAGCTAATCAGATGTAATTTTGTTTTATGTCATTGAGAATAATGCCGTTTTGTTTCCCTAAATGTGTCTAATCAGTATTATTACCTGCAGTGCTGAGCCCTTGTGACCGCTTCAAATCCATTATATGTCAGAGCCATCCTGATGACTGATTGTAATGTGCATGGCTCAGAGAGATGGATCTCTTAGTGGGTGCTCAGATTGTTTAATGTAACCTGCTTCTATGAACAGCTTTACAAATAATACAGACCATGCTGAATGAGTGATACACACGGTAGGTAGGTATATGTACGATAGATAACATGCTGTTACAGGGAAAGTCACTCAGCTCATTATTTTTAATTATCTCCACCTCTCTTTTATACACTCTGCTCACAGTGTCGCTGTGCTTTCAAACAGTCACTGCGTCTGTGACACTGGAGACCTTAAAGCTGCACTAATCCATTTTCATATTAGCAGTGGGTTAAATATTGAAGTTGGTGAACCCATTTATAAGTCTTACCAGACTCTTTACAGTCTATCACAACTGTGAACGGTTTTAGAGTCTTCAGGTTGTTGTCTTTTGGGGATTTCGGCCAACAACATCACGGAGTACAGCATTTAGTATTCAAGACAAACAGGACCTACATTTGTATGGTTCAATCATACGACATAAATCCAAAGAATTCTAAATTATGGGCGGCTGTGGCTCGAAACATCGGTTTTCTTTTCAGTCGGTTTCAACTTAAACCTCCTTACAGAAGCTTTAAGAAGTGATAGTATGTCAGTTTTGTATTTACAACTCTTTTTGCTGCTTCTGTAAAATCTGTAAAAGCTTCTTTGAAACTGATATAATATTAAGTAATACCCCCAATCCAATCTGTAAACAGCACTCTGTAGTGGAGTCTCCTCTGACTGTTCTTGAACTATTTCACTTATATCTGTGGAGCTCTGCGGGCTATTTAAATTTTAATATTTGTCCTTAAAAAGCCAGGACTATCATTATGGAGAGCAGATGGTCGGAATTATTATCTCCTCATCCCAATTTCTGGGGAGTCATGGCGGTCATGAGGCAAACAACAAGTGGTGTCTGAAAAGACGAGTGCAGAAAGGCTGCAAACCTCACAGACAAATGTGTGGAATCAATCATACTGAAAGATAATTGATCACACTTCATATGACATCCTTTGGCTTCCAGCTTTTGCAGCAAAAACTCTGGTGTGAACTTTATATTGGAAGCCATTCTGCAGTATATCGTTCTATCAGGGTAAAGGAAGGTATGTTTTTGCTTTACAGATGAGAAAGGGACAATGCAGACCTCATACAGAACAAACAAAGAACTTATTGCTTTTCAGAAATGGCGGGCTCCAATAGCAATGTCTGAGGCACTTTGCTGGAGAAAAAATAAACAAAGCTGTGAAGTCTCTTCAAATGAAGTCAACATCAAAAGCATTAATTCATATACTATTTTTGAATTTTTTGATTGAAGCTGTATTTGTTGTTGGCCTACAACCAAGCAGACTTCTTTTTAAGTAGCTGTCCTCTTACAATTACACATTCAAAGTCATTTGCTGTGTTTCTATTTATTCCTAAATTTATAGAAGGCTTAAGCCTGGCTCACACTGTACGAGTGAAATCGGGACGGAGCGTTGACAATTGTTAATAAAGTCTCATTTGAAAACTCCAAAGGACGGTGGTTGGTGAAAGAGAAGGAAGTGGAAGTTGTTGTATATATCTACGATCTACAATCGTAGATATAGATGGATACAAGTTTCAGAAAAGTGCTGCACTGATGATCTGTACAGAAAACAAAACAAAAAAAACCGCCAGAATGACTACAGTCCCCATTGTAGTCACACACAACTTCTGGCCGACCCTTTCATGACGTAATCATCAAGATTTTAAATTCTAAATATCAAACATGTCTGAAATAAATCGGGGCGTCCCGGACAATCTCCAGCCAGATCGGGGACGTTAAGATTGGAGTTGAGAGCGACCCTGTAATTGTCGGGAAGGAAGAATCGGAGCTCAAATCGGCCCGATTATCCTGCAGTGTGAGCCAGGCTTTACACTGCAGATCATCCATGAACAGCACCTCACACATGAACAGACGTCAGGCACAAAGTAAACATCTTTCCTCTTCTTCTTTTACCCAGAATTCTTCCTGGAGCTCCTGGAGAACACAGAGAGGTCCCTGAACGAGATGTTTGTGAGGACTTACGGCAAGCCGTACATGCAGAACGCAGAGGTCTTTGAGAACCTGTTCTCTGAGCTGAAGCGCTATTACACGGGAGGGAACGTCAACCTGGAGGAAATGCTTAATGACTTTTGGTCGCGGCTGCTGGAGCGCATGTTCACGCTGCTCAACTCGCAGTATGTCATCACAGAGGACTATCTGGAGTGTATCAGCAAGTATACGGATCAGCTGAAGCCCTTTGGAGACGTGCCCAGGAAGCTCAAGGCTCAGGTTACCCGAGCATTCATCGCTGCACGCACATTTGTCCAGGGGCTCTCCGTTGGCCGGGAGGTCGCCCAGAGAGTGTCTAAGGTAGGTGAAAGTGAAGCAGGAAATGAAAACACTCAAAATCAGCTGCTTACAGCCATCACACAACCAAACTTTCACTTGCTTCACTTGTTTATTCAGTGGGAAAATATTCAGCGTTTGACCTCAGCTGAAACGAAGACTTCCACACACATTTTAACATTTTAACAAGCCCAAGGTCTAGCACACATCCAACCCCCCCCACCCGTTATTTCTCACAGTGAAAAAGCTCTCTCTCTTGATGCACGTCTTCAGGAAGTTAAAGGTGCTGTCTAGAAAACAGTGTTGAAGACTATATGGATTGCTCGAGGAGAGAGAAGGCCAGACAGTAGAAATCTTAAATAGCTGAAGGAGATTCCAACATCATTGTTTACTGCTTAATATTTGTACAGCAAATATACAGAATCCATTTATCACGCTGTAACATTCTGTTTGAAGCAATGTAATCTCAGTGCAGCTTCAGCAGTACAACAAACTGCCCTGGGGAGTGTTTGGAGTTCTCATCATGTACATGTACGAAGTCCGATTAAAGGAAAAGCTAAAGTCTGTGGCTTGGATTTAGTCACACACAATAACAGGGCTGTTTTTTTTACACACTTTATTTTGGGTCAAGAGAAGCACTGATACACACCATGCTGCAAAGGCCCATCCTCTACACTGATGTCTGGGCACATATCAGATTGTAAACACAACAAGGAATATTTATAGACCTACTGCACTGTAAAGAAACAGAATGCAGAGAAAATGCAACTTCAATCATCAGAGAGAGAGGGGGAGAAAGAGGGAGAGAGAGAGAGAGAGAGAGGAAGAAATCCAACATTGGTTTCCTTGTAGTCCCCCCCGTGTTGCACTCGGTGAACTGTGAACATGCCCCCCCCTCCCTCCCCACCACCACCAGTAGTAATGTTGGGGCTCATTTACAAGCAGCCACGGAGGATGTGTTGTTAGTATGCGTTTACTGAGTTACACCCCGTGTTGGAACAAGCCGGCATGTCCCAGCTTCACCTCTTGACATTTGAGTGAGACTTGAGATCCAGGTCATGTGTCTGCGACTGCAACCCTTTGATCCCCCAGGGTATAAAGTCATCAGCAGGGATTGGGTGTAAGCATAATGGAATAAGACACCCTGCTGGAGGTGTCTGTTGCTCGGCTCTTCTTAGATGTGACATCCATGTTTATTGCTGCTGGGATATATATTGAATTAAAGAAGATGATGTAGTGCTTTATTGCTTTTCACATCTTAAGAGACCAACAGAAAACCACCCAGAGGGGCTTTGACGAGACAGTCTGCATCTCACAATGTTTAGTTCATTAACCAACCAGTACATCTGCTTCGGTTCACTGGATCTGAGTAAAAAAAACTTAATCTAATCCTCTTAATTCATACTTAAAATAATCTGAATTCTGGTGGGGGAAACTCCAAATTAAACTTTTCTATCTGAATACACTCACACACTTTAAATATGGAAATGAATAGAAGTGTAAACAATGTGACGACATTGTTTCCAGTACAACCAGGGTGACGGTAATGGGCTGCATTAACTTTGTAAAATGAGAATGTTATTATGCTGCTCAGTATGAGGCCAATGTTGTACTTGTACTGAAGTCAACCATCACCACAGGAGGAATCATCCAATGCAATACACTTCAATTGTCCCTAACAGGCCTCTAATTTCATAGCAGAGAATCAAAGTGTAATATTTGTCCATTTCATCAATCAGAATATGAGCCAGGGTGAATCCAGAGCACTTTTTCCAAAAGTGATATTGATCAAAAACATTTCTGTATTCATAATTTATCATACACTTGTTAAAAGCACAATAATACTTTTTAAAAGATGATTATTTGTTGTGGAAGGAAAATATTTATTTTAACAGAAAAAATGTTGCATATTAAAAAAAGCATGATCTATCACTCCTGACATACTACTACTACAGTTACAGTCATAACATTATGAATGTTCAAACTGACAACAAAAAAGTTCTTGTCAATTTAGAACATATTCCCTGATATTTTGTGTGGCTCAGATTATACAGCACATTGAGAATCAAACACTCACTCATTGGTCTTACTCCCTTAGTGTCCTATCAGATGACATGAGTTTTGGGCCTTTTTAAAATTTTCATTTTATTCTTCAACAATAAAGGTTCAGTGTGACATGTCTGTCATCTGTCTGATCAGGGCCTCAGGCTGACCCACACCTGTGTCACATGTGATATGATGTTAACATGGCGATCCTTAGAATGCTCAGTGTCATCTTTGTATGTAAGAAATCCAAACCTGTAGTCTGAGTGCTCATGTGTGAGGGTTGCATTAAAGCACTTGTATATTTGAGTCTCCATGGAAACTGAGTCTTCGGGGCTACACAACTACCTCCACTCCTCCCTTCATGATACTCATCTCTTTAACACATATCTCCTAGAGACAGAGGATGTAATTTCTATACATTTCAGCCGTGGAAAAGGTCATCCATGGTTTCTCTCCTCCAGGCAGGTCTACTGTAACTTAGTCTATTCTGCTATTCGATACAGATACAACTTCCACCAACTACAGCTAAGACAAAATGTTGCTGCCAGATTTTTATCACATCTCGACAGAATTGAGCGTAATAAACCAATATTTGCTGCACTGCACTTTCCTGTCTGCTTTCTAATTGATAGAAGCTTTGCTTGGTCAGGCTCTTGCTCAGTTATCAGATAATTCCCCACAAGTCACTGTTTGAGATGTTTCTGCAGGACTCTCTTTAGCCTGTCAGTGTGTCCAAAAGGCCTGTTTGTCACAAAGATTGGCTGGTCTTGTGCTTTGCCCTCAGGCAGCGAAAAGTTGTCTTCTTTGAAACCTTTTTCTTTTTATTGAATGATGTTTTGATGTTTTCTTAATCTTATTTTTGAAACCATTTGTTGCTGTATAAGCGCTTACTGCAAATAGCAGATTGGAAACCCAGGTTTGACACAAGGCTATCCCAGCTCCCCCTTCCTATTGGTGTTTTCTTCTCATAAAACACTCACTCTGCACATCTGTCTGTAAAACAAGAGGTAGGATTAGACACTGGCTGTTTCTACATTCAATCTAAAAATCACTTTAGCACAAGTGCTAAGAGTTACATTTTTATCTTTGTAAAGGAAATGACACAGAAGTGCTTTGCATGCTGTGTCTCTGTATCCAAAAAAAACTTAGACTCATGTTGATGCTTTATGTAATAGAGGAAAAAGTCCATTAGCTGCGACCCGGGAGGTTTGGCCTCAAACATCTTGACAAGCCTCCAGAGTGCGATCGTGAGAGTGCATGAGGATAAGAGTGTCGAGTGCAGCCTGCTCTTTAGAAATCATCTCATAAAATCTGTTTTACTGGGTCACACTGTCAACTTTGTGTTTGCTATCTGAAATGTCACTATCCTCGCCTACACACATAGCAAAACAGTCCATCACTGATAAGATGCTGCAATTTGGAAGGCAGGCTTCACATGTGGCCTAAATGGGAAGGAGGGAACAGCTGATTCATCTTCTCACAAAATGAAGATTGAGACGATAAGACACATTAGTCAAATAAAGTTGAGTCCGTTTCATGCACAATAAACAGACAAATTAGTTATTCTATCCTATCAGGGCTTGCAGCATTGTATATTGTTTAACAATCATCTATTCAACCCCTGAACCTTTTATTTATTTATTAAGAAAATAACATTAACCAGCTTGGTTTGGATCAGCTTACTGGATCTGCACCATTTGATCTTTGAATGTTTTCTACCTCATTAGAAGAATGTGCAGATCTATACATTTATTTCATGGTTATCAGAATGGCAGTCAGAGAAAAGCCTGTCTCAGAAAACAATTTAAATAAAGCATCACCTTCAATCAATTGTGATATTAGTCGTTTATTTGTAGATACAAATACTGAAACTCTATCAGAAGAACTGAAACACATGTGACAAGTGCCATATTTGACTGTTTAACTGAATGGGATTTCCTTATGTTCCATTCTCTTTTTAAAAGAATGATGAAAACAGTTGTGGCTTATTCATACATTCAAATTAAATAAGGTAAAAAAGGCCTGTGGCTCTGACCAAACTGATATACTGTAGTAAAAAAAACACACCTATGCAAAGAGCTCTTCAACTAAACAAAAGTGAGAGTCTGTCATCTTGTTGATCTTCTGTATATATATTTTTATGCAGCTTTTGTACTTTTTTTTGTATTACTGAAGCTGTGACAGCAAACTTTATTCCCATAAATCTATCAACTAATAGAACACATCATGTTTAAAGTGTGTTTTGCATATCTGTAATAAAAGACAATGCAGGCTCACATTAAGAGTCTGACATCTCCTACATTAACTGTTTACTTCAACAGTAATGTATTCCTTTGACTTGTTGTTCATGTAATTTTTGTCTCTCTTGTAAACAAGGAGATTATTTCAAGTTTGACTCAAGTGTCAAACACGTTTTCTCACACGTCTTCTCTGAGGAGAGATAATCTGAGAAAACAATTGAGAAACATTCCCTCAGTGTTTTTTATGTGCCTGTGTTATTTATAAGACAAGACTTTGTGTCTATGGACGTGTGTTTATGACTTGATTACTGATGAAACTTTACGCCGTTCTTTAAACCGTTACCTGTCACACACAAACAAAACGGGCTCTTTTTGACTTCATTCAAAAAATACAAAACAAAAATATGGAAAACTGACACAACAGCATTCTTGACAACAAATGATTATCTGTGTGTATTTAATATTTGATATTTAAAAACAGGTTAAATATGGCTACCAATGATGAATCACAATGACAATGCTCACTAAACACTTTATATATCTTAAATCATCTCTTCTTGTGTGTGCAACCAATTTTTTAAACAATAATATTAAATTTAAATTGTGTTATAAATCTTTAAATTTTCTGAGTGCATTAGAAAAAAGTATATCAAAACTCCCTTCAAAAATCTAAAGAATCTGTAATTGTTATGGGTTCAGGCGAAGGACGTCACATGGCGAAGGACGTCACATTTCTTTTGGGAATTGACTTGATCATTCAATTACAAAAAGTGATTCTAATCAAATGAGATTTTGAGGACGTTGTTCAAATACTAATGCCTCCTGTCACACTGTTCTTGCAGGTAAGCAGCACTCCATCATGCATCAGAGCACTGACAAAGCTGATGTACTGCCCCTTTTGTCAGGGCATGCCGGCAGTCAAAGCCTGTAAGAACTACTGCCTCAACGTCATGAAGGGTTGCCTAGCAAATCAAGCTGATCTGGATCCCGAGTGGAACCTGTACATTGGTGAGTCTTTTCAAAGCGATACTCCAAACATTATTCACCTGCTGTCCTGTTTTAAGATTAAGATTTAAGATTTACTTTTATTGATTAAATTTCAGTTTTTACACACTGTAGTCATGCAACACACACATAGGCTGAAGTATATACACACATGCACACAAACAGGATCATATGGACATGCACTAATACGATGTCAGAGTGACGGAGCAGCTCACAGCAAGCGCTCTTGAGTTGGTGGTGGGGAGGGGGTTTAGTGCCTTACTCAAGGGCACCTCGGCAGTGCTCAGGCACCTCTCCAGCTACCAGACCAATTTCCATACTTGGTCCGCACCGGGACTTGAACTGGCGACCCTCCGGTTCCCAACCCAAGTCCCTACAGACTAAGCTACTGCCGCCACATACCAATCAGATCTGTGCTTATACGTTTTTTCTGTTGCACGGATCAGTATGTTTAAATGGGACTAGTTGACGTGGTTCATAATAAGAGCACATGTGTGTATTCTCTGGCCCTCCTTTACAATTTATTCTTACTGTTTACTTTCCAAAGTGGTGCAGGTAAAGAGCAGACAAGAAGCAAGTCGGTATTATGTAATACTTAAGTCTTAAAGTGACAAATATGAGGTGAATGATCTTTTAAGCAGAACATTCAGGTATAAAACAATGAGCTGAAAGCTTCAGACAGTCATGTTGATTGAAATAGATCTGCACTAGCTACATGCAATACTTTGACATTATAGGGCTTAACTGGATTAAAATTTAATAACACAAATATAGCTTCATTGCACCTTTTTCCTTTCATGTTCATTAAAGAGTAAAACACTGAAGTGGTGATGTATGAATGCTTTGGGCACTTTGGAGCTAATGCTTTATGGATGCAAAGAACGACAATATAAAAAACTGAAAATGGAGGAAAAGGGAAATCCAACTGTAGCTGAGCAGTTATGTTGACTTTAATAATCACTTAATCAGCATTATGGAAGCGAAGAACAACAGTCAGATGGATGGTGCAGTGTTTCCTTTAGTCGGTGTAAGCTGGCAGAATAAAACAAAAAGGTTTGTTTAAACAAGTTAAAAGTTAAAAGATTGTGCAGGTCAAAATGTTTACCTTATGAGTGCAGGATTACAGACATAGGTGTGCCACGTTGTCGAGTTTGACTTTGTCTATTTCAGGAGAATTTACAGCTGTTACTCGGCTGTTATCATGACCTGACAACATCTGTTCCATTGACACACACAAACATACACACAAAAGGCTCCTCGGATAAGAAGGTGCTTTATTTGTCATTCTTCTATCAACATTTTTCCTGCATGCAAAGAAAGAATTTATTCATGGGATTCTGGTCCCCCGCTGAGCTAAATGGAGACTTGTAATAGGGCAGAATTGCACTGCAGGGAGTGCCATGTTTTGTGAAGAAAAGTTCAATGGGAACTTGTTCTTCTGAATAAATATTTATATTTGTTTTCAATTTTTCATAGAAGGCCTAACTGAGATGATTCCTGCTGTCATTTAGATCAGGCTCATCCTGAAGGAAAAAATGTGAAAACGTGCTAAGACCCATCACTGAAAATGAAATATGCATCATAGAGCCTTTTAAAAAGAAAACACAATACATATGATAAAAGAGCAGAATAAAGCAATTTAACTTTAGTCATTTAAAACATTTATTTGTTTGTTACTGCTGCCGCTAAAGGACGTGATACAAAAAAAATCCTGTTCTTTTATACTGGGTTGTCCTGTTGACTTTGGTGCTTGTACAAATTCATAAAATCAAATATGGAGCTAACTAAGCCCTCCCCTTATTTGAAACATCACTAAACATTGGTAAAGCTTGGAGCAATCAAATCCTTGAACAATTTGGTCGCATCCCTCTTGATGCTAAACCCCTGCTGGTATACTGTTAAATCCAGAGAAGTTGTCTGTTGTTGGAGGGTCTCCCAGAGTGACAAAAATAGGAAAAAAGAAGCACACTCAACCGTAATAAAATTTTTCAGGTGCACAACCGCAAAAAGCTGAAAGAAAACAGAAGATGTCCTTCAAAGTATGTTTTATGTGGGTAGAGCTGCAGTGTACAGATCAACAACGGGCGCGTTTCAGCACACGGCCTTCTTAAGCGTCTCCCAGAGTGAGAAAAAAGGTTTAACTGTCTTCGTTCATGAAGATTTCCACTGCATGCAGCAAAGTTCATAACGTGCGCTTTCTGTGCTTCTGTGGAGCTCTATACAGTCTTACGCCTCTGTTATTCCTCCCCTGCGATGTGTAACCCACTGAGGTTTGAATGGTGAGGTAGTATAACAGAGGGGGGAACATGTAACACCTTAATAGGTGTGAGTCTTTAATCCCTCAGGTCGTGTGCAGTGGGTGAACGTGGCGGCTGCACTCGCAGTCTTGACGATACCAACGCTCTTGCTCTTCACCTGTTGAAATTTGACCACAGTGAGCAGAAGTGTGTGTAGTTGAGTGCACCTGTCTGCATGACTGAATACTCCTCCAGTAATCACTTTCAGTTTGGTCTGGTCCTGTATTTCGTGCGTGCGTTTCGGTTTGCTTGATGTACAGTCTTCCTCACCAGTCAGTCTTTGGCATCTGGCCATTTTTAAGCTGAGCATAAAGTGTAGTGTACGACCGTTTTGTGTCAGCTTGTGACCTTGGACAAAGTTTTGTGTCTTTGTGAGAGCCATGGGACTTCACGGACCAGCAACACAAAACAATGAGGTTGAAATCTACAAAAAGCCTCCGAATGGAGGACACATTCTCCATCGGAGGAGCAGCACATTTCCCTTTTAGTTCAGTGTTGTTATCAAATAGGTTCTCTTAAAGGAGCTTTGCGAATTAAAATAAGAACCTGTATGACACAGATCAAAGCTAATTCAATCTGCAATGAGTACATACTGTAATTTAGTTTTCTCTGTGAGAGACATTGTAAATGCTAAATAGCAAAGCGTGTGAGTTTTATTTTCATGTTATTCTAATCTGTAAGGTAAGGGTTAGATGCTTGTTTCGTAAGGTGTCACTCACCTGCTCACTGTCTGTATCATGGATACAGAGCTGCATGTGTTTAGCAGGTGGCCATGTTGAGCTAACATTACACATCTGACAGACAGAATGAAGTAGAACGTTTAGCTTCATTCACACATAAGCAGGCAGAGTGGCTCCGTGTGGCTGATTTCATGTCTGCTTCAAAACCTAACCGCCATGAAACAATCAGAATACAACTTCTTTCCCTCTATTTTCTTTCTTCCTTTTTTCCTAAAGGAGCTTCCTTATTTATTTCACACTCTGGCTAGACCAAACACCACGTGCCCTTCTTTTCCTTACTGCAAGGGGCCAACTTTTGTTTCTGTGTCTTCTAGTGTGTCTGTGTTTCAGCACATAGTCTCATAATGAAAAGATCCACTCAGATATGTTCCTGTACTTTTCACATCTGCATGTAAAGGAGACATATACTGTGTAAGTCTTGTATAACACAGATCAAATGAGACCTTCAGTATACAAATCAGTCTTTCAAGAGCAGTGGCCTTCCTCATAAAAGCTTTCTCAGGAAGTTAAAGGGTGTATTGTATGATTGTGAAATTAATTCACTTTATATTCTTATCAAATATGGTGACTCGGACTTATTGCCTTTATTGCAAGCTGACTGTGCTTACTGTTGTGTGTGGCCCACGAAAGTCCATCTTGAGATAGGAAACACCCTGAAAGGAACCAGTTTGATCAAATTATAGTGATGTAATACTATATGTATGCTCTGCCTTGATCCATGCCGTCTGACAGTTTATTTTTTCTGTGACTTCAAGCTGGACGAAACGCAGGACAGCAACATTGGTAGTTGTTTGCTGTGGATACACAAATTCACTGATGTCAGTGTGGAAGGAGATCGCTTTCAAGATTGATATATGGTGGCCTGTGTCAACAAGCACAGGGCAGAGCAGCTGCAGTGTGGCAGCCTAAAGGACGAGACTGAAAGATGCCAGAGTGGGTCATGTTGGGGAAAGTTCTGCTCACAGCAGGGGTGGAGAGTAAATGCTGATTAATGAAATCAAACAACCCCCCCAAAAACCTGGATGATGATATATGCAGATTTCAGCGTGTTCTTTTCCACTGATAGCAGACAAACAGATATTCTCACATGAACATGGAGCAAAATACAAACCACAAGTACAACATGAAGTCTGTTTATAACACAATGAAGAGATCATAAGGAAATATCAATGTGTTTATTTGCTTGCAACTTTGTCGCTGAGTGTGCACTACATATCCAAATCTGCATGAATGAAATGAGTGACAAAAATAATTAGATCCTATTTGTTCAATCCAACATTTTTCAAAATAATACACAAAGTATAAAGCTGGAATCGAACCCAACCCCCGGCAACCCCAAACGGGAGAGCAGTAGATAATGGATGTATGATGGATTATGGTTGAGCATCTTCACTTTCTTTAAACACATTCGGTGCATAGTTTTATTTACTTAATGAATGATTAACACATTTTTTATATATATTTATAAGCTTTATTTGGCCTTGTAAGAAGAATTGTAAAGAACGAGGGCAAATAAGGAATGTACCAGGTTTACAATAAACCTTTCACAGTTAAGATTAAACTAACGTTTGTAATACACATTTCTTTGCTGAAAAAGTCCTTCAAAGTGCTTCTATAGTAGATACTCTATAATGCAAAGAGGCATGTTGGACTCTTTTTTTAAGATTTAGTTTGGGCTTTTTATACATTTATTGGAGAGACAAGACAGTGGACATAGTGGGAAATCATAGGAAGAAACAGAGTGGGGAACAACATGGGGGAAAGGCACCAGACCTGACCCCGGGACAGTGGCCTCTGTACATTGGGCTGGCGCACTAACTTCTATGCTACTGGCGCTCTGGCATGTTGGACATTTAACACAGTTTTATGTTGATGTACATGCTGAGTCGGATGAAACATTTGTTGTCTCTATAAATGTCTTGAATAATTCTGCCTTGACTTATTTAGATGTTTCATTCAGACAAAA